TATAATTATAATATGAGATACGTAATGTGATATATATATATATATAATGAGATATATACATAATGGTGGAAGTTCTCCCTTTTAGATAATCTTATGAAATGAAATCACAGAATTTAATTATGCTAAATATAACTACATTTCTGATCCCACCTCCATCCTAAACTGCTATCTAACACACTTGTGCATAGTTTAGTAAACTTTAAATTATTTATTTCAATCTTTGCCATGAATTACACACAAAATATTTCTTATATCTTTTTCTTTTCAGAGACTAACTGAAATCTATCCTTTGGTTTAGCATAGTACTATAATCGTATTATAGTTGCTCTATATTTATTGATGTTCAATAAAAATCTGTGGAAAAAATTGTGAAATAAGTAAATAAATATAAAGGAATTTGAAAACTGTGAGAGCATAAAGCTACAAAGAATTAAACAATAGATTGTCCTGAGTATTTAAGAAAGGCTTCCTAACTTGGTGTGGAAACTAAACTTGAAGAGGCTAAGGACATTTCCAGGAGCTCTGGTGGAGTAATCCATAAAGACTTACACTGCCAACCCAGAAGAAACACTTACCTGGTAGGTTTAATCTACCAGTGTCATCAGGAGAAAAAAATAAGCAATAACCTCCAGTGTAGTTTACAGCCTCAGAAACCTAGAAACCTAGTGGACTCCCTGGTATGAGTTAATTTTAACTTGATATCAATGAGTTATATATATGAGCTAAGGACATTTCAGAAGTCCCTGAATGGTGAACATGGTTGACACAGTTGGCTGCTAACCAAAAGTCTGGCACTTCAAGTCCACTCAGATATGCCTAAAAATAAACACTTGATGATGTATTACTTAAAGATCTTTATGGAAAGTAATTCCATTTTTATACATGTGTAGGTCCTATGAAACAAAATCAACTTGACAGCAATTGGTTTGGTTTGACTTTGGTAAGAATATCGCTGACATGGAAAAGATATAAAAAAATTTGCAAATCTTAGAGAAATTGGAGCTTTGATAATATACAAATATTACTTCTGATGGGCTTTATACAGTACAATAGTCATGTAGTAATAGGTGAGAACTCTGAGATTACCAATACTAGCATGTGAGAATGACCAGAGAGTTTCCATAGAGAAATAACAAGAAAAGATTTTCATTTTTGAGAAAAAATTGCAGTGCAGGTAATAATATGAAGGATGAATTAAAGAAGGAATGAATTAGGGAAAGAAAAAATCACTATACACATGTACATTTATTTATCCTGACATGAGATAATCAAAATGCTGATGTTAGAGGAAATGAAATAGAATGCAAAGCTTTAGAAGTAAAAATGAAAGGAAAAGACTTGGTAAATCCTTAGATATTGGAGTTAAATAGGGAAAAAATAGAAAAGACTCTCAATTTTCTAGCATGTCAAACTTAGTGAATGTTGAATACTGGATTGAAACAAATAACGGGAAGAACTGCATAAACGAAATATATAATTAAGCATTATATATATGAAAATAATCTGGAATAAGAGGTGTATTGCAAAGTGGACTGGGGGGTACTAGGGAAGGAAGGAAAACGCTCAACAATGATTTACTTGCAAAATAAAGAGAAGGTTTGGATGAAATTTTGTTTATAATATCAAATAATTGAATGATCCAAATGCAATTGTAAAGTGAATGTATATTTGAATAGTATGTTGTACTTGTTTTATATTGTGGAGATAAAAATTGATACCAGAATTGAGCCCTGATGAGAGCAATGAAGCAAAAGAGACCAGAAGAGCATTGGTGACTTGAGATTTGCAACACAGAAGTGTCTGGAAGTCTGAACCAACAAATCAAGGGTTGGCTTGGAGGGAGTAGGGAGATGAGAGCTGGCCAAGGCTGAGTTTGTAAGAGGGATGAAATTTGATTCTGGCTGAACTGAATGGGGGAACAGAACCAAGTTACAAGTGCCAAAGGGTTGGGAGACCAACACCAAATTAGCTATATTTTTAATGGGGAAGTGTCTTTCATGTACTTTTCTTGGTAAAATGCTTTTCTGTCAGATAGTGTTTTAAAGCAAAGAATCTAAATTAAGGCAGATTAGAAAAAAGGATTAGCCATCTGTTTCAAAAATAGCAAGTCTTCTAAAACCCTATACACAATAGAGCACACTTTAATTAGATGAGCAGATATGGCACCAGAAGCTGAACCCTTTGGTTGAGAAACATAAAGGAGGAGGGACAGTTGAAAGCAGACACTAGTGATCAGAATATGGAATGTAAGAAGCATGAATGTAGGAAAATAGCGCATTGATAAGGAAAAAAAATGGAACAGATAAATATTGGCACTGTTGGCACTGGCAAATTGAGATGCATTGGCATGGGCATTTTGAAACTGGCACTTAACATTATCAACAACACTGGAAGTGAAAAGGTGAGAAAAAATGGAATTATATTTGTAGGTAGTTAAACAGACCATTTCCAGATCCATCTTGAAATATAATGTTGTGAGTGACAGGATAATATCCACACACACATACAAGGAAGATCAATTAATACCACTATCATTCAAATATATGCACCAATAATCAGATCCAAAAAGATGCAATAAATTAACACCAATTTCTGCAGTCAGAAATCAATTGAACATATAACCAAGATGCATTAATAATAATAGGTGATGAGAATGCAAAAGGTGGGGGAAAATAAGAAGGGTTAATTTTCAGAAAACATGAATTTGGTAACAAAAACAAGGCTGGATATAAAAGGATAGAATATTGTACAATCGATGATATATTCATTGCAAATATCTTTTACAAGAAACACAAATGACAACTATACACATGGCCAGGGATCAAATTTACTACTACTGTAGAAAGAATTGTTGGAGCAGCTCAGTATCTGCAATGAAAACTAGGCCAGGTGTTAATTGTGGAACAAATTATCAACTATTATTGTTGTTTTAAAGTGCCATCGAGTCATAGACGACTCATAGCGACCCTATGAACCTGAACATTGGCATAACTTTCATCATTTCTTCATGTTCTTAGAGTTTCCAGAGGCAAGCCATTTTGGAAGTAGATGCCACTCTTGCTTCCAAACTTGTTTTAATCGGTAAGTTCACACCCATTAGTGAGTCAACATTCCAACCTAATCCTCACCAGAACCAGTAAGCAAACCTCTGTAAATCTGGCTGCTGCTCTTGACTTCCAAACTGGATTCCAGCCCCACACTGCTGACTAAATGTGTTTTTAAATAGAAGATCGAATCACATCATCTCACACCCAATAGCAAATCAATATTCCACCTTAATCCTCACCAGAACCATCAAACAAAGCTGTGTAGAATCTGGCTGCTGCAGAGACTTCAGACTGGAACTACTTATATAAAAATTAAAATTGAAAGTGAAATAAGATCCCCGAGAACCAAAAAATTACTTTGAGAATATCTCACCTGAATTTAAAAACCATTTCAGAAACAGGTTTGAAGCCTTGAACACACATAAGTGAAGACCAGATGAACTGTAGGAGGCTATCAAGAGTGTTATCCATGAACAATGGGAAAGGTCATTACAAAGATGGAGAAAAAGTACAAAGAGTTGGAATTGGAAAGTCACAGGGATGAACTTGCTTGGCATTTTAAAGCTTCCTTCAGCTTAAAAAACAAATTCAAGTTGAGTTTCAATACTTAATAATAACGCAATGGACAGAATATTGAATGATCCAGGAAGTCATTAAAAGAAAATTGAGGTCATCTTCCTTTTCAGCCTGGTCTCGGCGCAATGGCCCCTGCAAAGAAGGGTGGTGAGAAGAAAGGCCATTCTGGCATCAACGAAGTAGTGACCAGAGAGTACACCATCAACATTCACAAGCGCATCCATGGAGAGGGATTTAAGAAGTGTGCTCCTCTGCATTAAAAAACAAGGAACTCATGCAATATTATTCAAAATAGTTGATTCTGGAGAACATTATGCTGAGTGAAATATCCCAGTTACAAAAGGACAAATATTACATGATGCCACTGTTGTAGAATGGGACTGTCCTTGGGGTTGGGGAGAGACTGAGTAAGATGGGTTCAATAATGTATACTGCACTGAAACAGAGGAGGGAGAAAACTGTTTAAAAGAGATATGTAACTAGGTATTTCTGTCATCACAGGAGTTTAGAGCGAGGGCTACATGGTGGAGGGGACCTGGGGGAGGGTTTGTAAAACAATGAAAAAATCTTTTCTTTTACTTTTCCATAATTTTTGACTCATGTACTTATAACTTGTTAGTCAAATTTGTGTCTTCTAGGTTGCAACACCCCCATGATACATCTTCAAGGATATGAGCATGTACGGCCAAGCACAATCAATAAGAGCGCATCTAAATTCCAAAATCAATCTCCATAATAGTCTATGTGTTTCCTACTGCCAAAGGGGCCCTTTAGAGTAGTGAGAGAAGATCTTCACCCTGAAACTCACAGCGTCCCTTTTCAGCAGGAAGTAGCTAAGAGAATATGCCATCCCCTTTTCCTTATGACTCAGGGTGAAGTCTCTCTCAGGGAGGAGAAATAGGGAATGGCAAAGGACACACTGACAAAGAAGATTAATCAGAACTGGCTTTGACAAGCACTGTGGCATTTGGACAAGAACAAACTGGGAGGAGGGTAGAGAGAATAGTGCAACAATGAATGAATGGAAACTCAAAATCTCTGTAAATGTTTATGAAAATTAATAAAATATAATTATAGAAAAAAAAAGAAGTGTGCTCCTTGGGCACTAAAGGATATCTGGAAATTTGCCATGAAGGAGATGGGAGCACCAGATGTTCTCACTGACACCAGGCTTAACAAAACTGTCTGGGCCACAGAAATAAGGAATGTCCCATACCACATCTACGGATGGTTGTCCATAAAACATAATGAGGATGAAGATTCCCCCAAAAAGCTGTATACACTGCTTACCTACGTATGGGTCAACACTTCCAAAAATCTACAGACTGTCAATGCGGAGGAAAACTAATATCTGATTGTCAAATAAAGTTATAAAACTGTCATCATGTGATTCTGTTTTATGTAAAGAAAAAAAAAAGAAGAAGTGTGAAGGAGTACAGGGTATCACTGTACCAAAAAATAATTTTCTGGCACTAAAGACTTTCATGAAACAATATCAATGCTGTTAAAGTAGGAAGCATAAGCTGATCTGACGGAACTCACAAAACACAAGGCCCCAGGAATTGATGGAATACCAATTGGAATATTTCAACAAACATATGCACACTTAGATGTGCTCCCCAGGTTTTGCAAAGAAATCTTGAGGACAACAACTTGGTCAACTGAGTGAAAGAGACCCATATTTATCCCCATTAAAAAAAAAAAGATGATTCAACAGATTGTAGAACTTATCAAACAATATCTCTAATATCTCATGCAAGCAAAATCCTGCAGAAGATTATCCAAAAATGTACTGGTACATCAACAGAGAACTACCAGAAATATAAGATGAGTTTAGAAGAGGTCACAGCACTAGATACATCATAGCCAACATCAGATGGGTCTTGGAAGAAAGCAGAAAATACCAGAGGAATGAAAATCTGTGTTTCATTGACTATGTAAAGGTATTTGACTGTGTGGATCAGAAAAACTTGTGGTTAACATTGAGAAAAATTGGAATCCCAGAATACTTGATTGTGCTAATGTGAAAGCTATCCTTGACCAGGAAGCAGTCATCAGACAAGAGCAAAGAAACACTGCATGGTTCAAAATCAAGAAAGTAGTGCATCAGGGATATATCCTATCTCCATACTTTTCCAATCTATATTAGAGAAAAGATACTTTAAAAGCCTGAAATTTTAAAAAAAAGGCTGAAATTTATGAGAAGAAATGCAGCATCAGGATTGGAGGAAGACACATCAACAACCTGTGTTGTGCAGATGACATAATCCCTCTTGCTGAAGTTCAGGAGGATCTGAAGAAATTTGCTGCATAAGGTCAAGGACTATAAACTCAATGTGGATTGAAGCTCAACATTAAGAAAATGAAGATTCTCACCACTGGGCCAACTGGCAGCACTGTGATAGATGGTGAAGAGATTGAGCTATTTGACAATTTAACCTTGCTTTCCACAGTGGTTGCACCATTTTACACTCCCACCAACAGTGAATAAGGGTTCCAGTCTCTCCACAACCTCGCCAGCATTTGTTGCTTGCTGTTCTGTTAAATTTTGCTAGTCTTACTTGGGTGAGATGATATCTCATAGTTGTCTTGATTTGCACCTCTCTCAGAGCTAGGGATTTTGAACATTTCTTCATGTGCTTGTTGGCAATGGAATACTATGCTGCATTGAAAAACAAGGAACTCATGCAATATTATTCAAAATGGGTGACCCTGGAGGACATGACGCTGAGTGAGGTATCTCAGTCACAAAGGGACTAATGCTATATGATGCCACTGTTGTAGAATGAGGCTGGCGTTGGGATGGGGGTAAGACTGAGAAAAACTGGATGAATTATGTGTACTGCATTGAAGTCTGTGTGGGAGAGAATAGTTTAAAAAAATTCTATTTTAGGGCATTATGCTTATCATAAGAGTATGGAATGGGGGTTGCAGCATGGATTATATTTGGGATTGGGGGTGGGGTTGGGGGATGTGGGGGGGGCATTGGGTATCAATGAGGGAGTTTTTCTTTTGCTTTTCAAGGAGAGGAGCAAATGGGGAGAAGGGAGGAGGGGGGTGGGGAGAAGGGTGCAACAATGAATGAATGGAATTCCAAAATTTCTGTAGATGTTCCTTGAAATGAAAAATAAATAAATTAATTAAAAAATATATATACCAAGGAAATGGCATCCAGAGGATGAAGAAGTGGCAATACTAATCTCAGATAAAATAAACTTCAGGATGAAGACCACCATAAAAGATAAGAAAGACTGATGATCTGTTGGAGGAGGACAATCTCCTCCTGTACCAGTCAGATCCCATTTGACAGTACACATACACAAAATAATAAAAATTAAAAATAAAAATAAAAATCTTTAAAAAGATAAGAAAGGGCACTATATAGTGGTTAAAGGAAGAATAGATCATTAAGATGTAACTTTAGTCAACATCTATACTCAAATTATATATTTATAAAACGCATAAAACAACAGTTAACAGACTTGAAAAAAATAGAGCCCCATATTTATAGTAGTGGACTTTAGTAGATCCCTCTAAAGAAAACACAAGTCAACTCATACTCAACAAACTTGCAGAAAAGCTAAAATATACTTTATCCAATTTGACCTCCTAGATATATTCAGGATATTTCACTCAACTGAAGCTCAATTCACTTTCTTCTCAAGTGTACATGGTAGATTCTCAAGAACTGAACATATGTCAGGATAGAAAGCAGGCCTCAACAAATAAGAAAGATAGAAAAGATGCCAAGTTTCTTCTCAGATCACAATGCCATAACACTAGACATTAACAACAAGAGGATAAAGGATAATAAAACTACCACATGGAAGCTAAAGAATATCTTCTTTGAGCACTATTGGGTTACAAAAGAAATAAAAATGGGAATAAAAAAGTTCTTTGATACACATGAAAATAAAAATTCATTTCAAAAACATCTGGGTATGAATAAGGCAGTTCTCAGGGGTCAATTCTTAGCAACAGGCAAATACATTTAAAAAAATAAAGACGCAAACGAAACACTGCATGGTTCAAAATTGGGAAAGGTGTGAATCAAAGAATGTGTCCTATCTCCATATCTTTTCCATCTATATGCAGAACAGATTATCTGGGAGGCTGGGCTCTATGAAGAGAAGTGTAGCATCAGGATTACAAGTAGACTTATCAACAATCTGTGTTATGCAGGTGACACAACCCTGCTTGCTGAAACTAAGAAGGGCATGAAGAACTTGCTGCAGAAGGTCAAGGATTGCAACCTTCCATATGGATTGAAGTTTAGCATCAAGAAAACAAAGATTTCCACCACTGGTCAAATTGGGAGCATCATGATACATGGTGAAGAGATTGATATTGTTGATAGCTTTAGTCTGCTTGGCTCTACAATCAATACTCTTGGTACCAGCACCCAAGAAATTAAAAGACGAATTTCACTGGGAAAGTCTACTGTCAGAGACCTCTCCAAAGTAGTGAAAAGCAATGATGTCAGTCTGGAAAGTAAGGTGCACCTGATACAGCCTATGGTCTTTGCCATTAATTTCTGTGCTTCAGAGAGCTGGATAATGACTAGGGATGATAGAAGGAGAGTTGATTCCTTTGAGCTTTGGTGCTGGAGAAGAGTATTGTATATACCATGGACTACTAGGAGAACAAACAAGTTTGTCCTGGAGAGGGTGAAACCATGTTGCTGCTTGGAGGCAAGGATTCTGAAGTCTCGTATGACACACTTTGGGAATGTTGCAATGAGGAATGTGTCCTTGGAGAAGGATCACATGCTTGGGAGTGTGGAGAAATAGCACAGAATAAGAAGATCCTCAATGAGATGGATTGATTTCGTCACTGGGTAATGGAGTTAGGCATGTTGGAGACAGCGAGATCGGCAAGGGATTTAGTAGGGTTCAGAGTTGTACATGGGATCGCTATGAGTTGCAATAAACTTGATAGCACATAACAACAGCAACATACACATCATAAATAAAACATTTTTCAATTATGAGGGGTTACAAATATCTAGTAGTCTAAAACTTTAAAATAAATAATGAGTTTTGCCTTATTTGATACTTCATCATAACAAAGACATAAGTAATGTCACACATTGCTTTGTAAAGATATATGGATCAAAATATGGTAAATACAAAAATGTAGGAAAAAAGCCAGAATACCTTATAATAAGTAATAAATCAAGAAAACATTCTATCTTCATGGAGCACATATTGTGCCATAAAAACTTTTTATGATTATATTAGAAAGTCTCATCTTAAAGGTACTCAATAGAAAAGTTCATAGTGATAAATATAACACTTTCACTCAATAAGATTGTAACAACTAATATACACCTGTGTGATTTGTGTATCAATTTTTCATACCATCTGTTATTTTGAGTAATATTTTGATATTTCCTAAGTCACTTAGTAAATGACTCATAACTGACCCTCCAGCTAGTTTTCCAAAAATACACTTCTCAGGGAAGGAGGTTGTTTGTCCATCTTTCTCCTGCAGAGTTAATGGTAGATTTAAACCAGCAGAGAAGCATTTCCATTATGTTAGCAGTGTAACTCTACATGGACTGTATTACCAAAACTCTCGTCATCATTAAGTTGTACAGTTATATTTATTCTTTCATCCATGAATATTTTTCTACAAGTTGAATTCCTTCTTGGCCTTGTGTTGTTGTTGTTGTTGTTGTTGTTGTTGTTGTTGTTAGGTACCAGTGAGTCTAATACTACTCATAGTGATCCTATGAACAGATGACTCCAGTCTTGCTCTACCTTATACCATTCTCATCATATCTGACACACTAGAGCTCATTGGTGAAATCACAGTGTCAATCTGTCTCACAGGGAGTCTTCCTCCTCTTCGCTGACCTTCCATTTTTCCAAACATGGTATTCCTTTCCAAGGAATAGCCTCGTCTAGCTACATGTCCAAAGCATGAATGATGAAGTTTTGCCATCTTTCTTCTAAGGAAGTCTGGCCTCACCTTTCCCAACACTTATCTTTTTGTTCTTTTGGCTGTTTATGAGATATTCAGAACTCTTCTCTAACATCACAACACAAAAGCATCAGTTCTTTTTGTGTCATCTTTATTAATTGTCCAGTTCTCTGATGCATAGCAGGTGATTGAGAAGAACATGACTCACCTTAGTCTTTAGATTGACCTAATTGTTCTTCAGCATTTTGAAGTGGTCTCCGACAGATTTTTTTTCAATGTAATATGTCTCTTGATTTCCTGACTGCTGGTACCAAGTGCCAGTAGAGTAAAACTCAATCTTTAATCATAGGCATCTTGAAGTGTACAAAGAACAAAACAGACATTGTATGCAGACTGTTCAAATGTACATGGAAAAACTGTATA